AAAAAAAAAAAAAAAAAAAAACAGTGATACCGAATAACCAATAACTAAAACCCAAGCATTTTAAGGTTTTAAGGTACATATAAATAATAATACTTTTTACAGTTAAAAAAGTATTTGTTAAAAATAATGATAAAATATATTTATAATTATTTATCAGCAAAAATTATTGAATTATTTAAAAAATCTAAACCAAAAACATATATACAAGCAAACCGCAAGAAAGGCAACTTAAATTCTAGTTATTATTATTTTTTATGCGTGATTTTTGTGCTTAACAAAAAACAATTATTTAAAAAGAATTTAAAGGAAAAAAAAAAACACAAATCCTTCTTTTATATTTCCTTCTTAACCATGATATGGTCATCACCTGCATCAATGGCAAACACATATGGTGTTGGAGCAATTTAACCTTTTTGTTTGGAACTTCGAATTGTGGGAAGAAGAACTTATGTTAAAGAAAAAAATGATGGGCTCATTTCTTGGTCATGGGTGTTCCAAGTGCAGGTGACCTTTTCAGGTAGTACCGATTAATGCCCAACTTATCATTATAAATAAAACAAACATTAAAGCCCAGCTTACTCAGAAAACAAAAGGCCTAAATGGGCTATAATTTTGCACAGTTTTGTTTTGAAATAAGAGATTATGGGCTATAATTTTAGTCACTCTTATGGTCTAGTTAGGTAAACCTACAGTGAGTATATATTCCCATATGAGGAGTGACTCGTATTTAAATTAATAATAAATAAGTAACATTTTATTTATTTACTTAGACTTGCATGGATTGATATGGACACTATTTTAATAATATATGAAATTATAATTGGCTTTGTTATGTGAGTTGATGTAAAATATAGCTTCTATATATGAAATGTGAAATAAAAAGAAAAATGAAAATGGAACTTATACAACCGTAATTGCTAGCATCAGAACAGATGGATAAGAAGTCGCCAACCCTCCAACCACTTTAATGTTCATTTAAAAAAAAAAAAAGTAGTATTACTATTAAAAAATAGAGATTTTTATTTTACAGAATTGATTGTCTTGTAAAATTATTTAAATATTTTTAAATTTATTTTTATATTATTTTTTTAAGAGTATTTAATTAATTTTACAGAACAGATTGTATATGGTCCATCCTGTAAAATAATTTTCAGTAAAAAATATTACCTATTAAAATTTATTTAAAATTAACAATTTAAATAATTTAATAATAAAAATTTTTATAAATATAAAAATTTATAAATTTAAATTCTATAACATTAAGATAAAATGAATTAAATAACAAGAGTGTGCATTGTAACACTAAAAATATAAAAATTTCACACAAATCAAAATTCTAAATTTAACCCTAAAATGTAAAAAAAAATATACATATATTAAAATTATTTTATTATTTAAATTCTACCACATTATATAATACAAATTTATTTTTCAATTTAATACAGTTTGGCACTTCAAAACAAAATAGTAAATTGATTAAAAAATATATATTTTTCCCAATTCTTTTGTGTATTATTACCCTGTTTATCTCTGTCAAAAAGGAAAGAACAGAGCGGGAGCGGTGAACGACTCCCTACTTACAGACATCCTGAGTTAGCTGAGCTTCTTTCGATCTGGTTTCGATACTAACAATAGCCGGCGTAAGGGGGTGAAGGCCTCGATCTCATCGACGCCTAAAACTTCCTCTCTTTCTTGTCCTCCCCTTCTATTTTTCCACCCCTTACTCTCCATTCTTCACATTGTTCCCCTCAGTCTCCCACAGGTATGCCCCTCTCCTTTTTTCTTTTTCTTTTTTTTATGTATTTTAATATGTAATAAGTTCATGCAGAAGAGCGTATGAATGTGAAGTCTTGGTGTCTATTAGATGTGGGTTCGGTTTTCTTTTTATCTTACTTTGAGTTTTTCTACCTGTATGTCAAATGTGGTTTGGGGATTCAGTTTCTGGTTAATTTTGGGTTTTGATGAGCAAACTAAAAGATTGTGCTGTTAAGGTTGATGTAAATTTTAAGTCGAAATGTTTTGGAGAAGAAAAGATTCAGGCTTCAGCATCTGTTTCTTGGTGGGTTTGGTTTGGCTGATATTGGTGTCTTCATTGCTAGTTGATATGTTTGGTTGATGGATGTGTAGGTAAAAAGTTTGAGCCTTTTGTGTCTGTTATTGAAATCTAATTTCCTACTAAGCTTCTCATTCACTTTCCAAGGCTCAATCCCATTACGCTTTTCATTTTATAGCTTAAAGATCACACTTTTAAGCATAGTGGTCGGTGAGAGTATTTTGTCCATTAAAGATCATCTAAAGTTTAACTTTTAAGCATAGGATGTGAAACTGTGCATGCATTTTTGAATTAGTCCTTCTCATTTTTCTGTGCAGATATTTGCTTTCCTCTGTGAGAGTTAATTTATTTAGAATGGCAATGACAACGGCATCTAGCTTTCAAATGGCAACAGGGAGACCATGCTTATCCCCTTCAAACAGGGCTGCGAAGTCTGGTGCTGCCATTCTAGGTGCCAATTCTCGATGCCTATCATGGACGAAGGTTACAACCGTGAGCCACATATCGACTTTGCAACCTTTTCAACGGAGTTGCAAATCATCTTCTGTGAAATTTAGTAGGTTTGTTCCTAAGGCTATGTCTGGATCTAGTGAAAATCAGCCTGCTTCTGGGTTGCCAATTGACTTGAAAGGTCTGTCTTGCTTTCCTCAATATCATTATTCTTGTATTCTTCTAGTTATGAGTTTCTCTTCTTGATTTCTTTTTATCCAGTCTATATGCTGCCATCTATATCATTCTCATTCAAAAAGTGTTGGTAGAAAGTAGACATTGTTATTTGAAAAGAAACAATAAGGGAAAAGTAAAGGTGATAAGAGTTATCTTTTATCTAATACTAGGACTTATGCTTTGTGTAGGTAAGAGAGCATTTATTGCTGGTGTAGCTGATGACAATGGATATGGTTGGGCAATAGCAAAATCTCTTGCCGCTGCAGGTGCTGAAATTCTACTGGGAACATGGGTGCCTGTAAGTAGTCAAGATGTTGATAGTTGTATTACCTTTATCTTCTTGGCTAGGGTCTTCTATAGTGTCCTTACTGACAGGGAGGCTTCTGTTTAGGCTTTGAACATTTTTGAGACCAGCTTAAGACGTGGAAAGTTTGATGAATCACGAGTGTAAGTTGTTTTACATTACATTATAGTGGATGGTTCTTGAATAATGTGCTAACAGAAGATTTGATGTTTCAGGTTGCCAGATGGTTCTTTGATGGAAATTACTAAAGTATATCCCCTAGATGCAGTTTTTGACAGCCTTGAGGATGTGCCTGAAGATGTAATGTATTAAGTTTTATAGATTTCTCAGTGATAGGACATGTCTTAAAAAATCAATCATCTTTGCCTTTTGTTTTCTTTGCAGGTAAAAACAAATAAACGTTATGCAGGGTCCAGTAATTGGACTGTTAAGGTATTGACTGTCATTCTTCCATTACTTTAATGCATGTTAAAATTGTTGTAAAAAATTTCTAGAGCCTAGTACTTCTAATTATAAGGTTTGAGCCCAAGTTTTAAGTAATCAGCATGTGGTATTTATTCTTATTGAGTGGTGCATGACTTTTTTGTTATGTTGCTTATTTATTGCAGGAAGTTGCTGAATCTGTTAAACAGGATTTTGGCACCATTGACATTCTTGTGCACTCACTGGCCAATGGACCAGAGGTAAAAATGTTCTGAAATTCTGTCTTCTTAACTTTTGTGAGCCACTGTCCTTGTCTCTAACACCAGATATCTTTTATCAGGTGAGCAAACCTCTACTAGAAACATCAAGGAATGGATATCTTGCAGCTTTATCAGCATCAAGTTACTCCTATGTTTCTTTGCTCAAGCATTTTATTCCAATAATGAACCCAGGCA